TGCAGTCAATCTGTGGTTGCACTGGAAACACACATGTTTTCTGGTGCCATGATAGACCCAGTCATGGGTGAGGAATGTGCATGGGCACATGTTCTAGAAGTCTTGGACTTGTGAGGAAACCCTTGCAATGGAGTGGGACAGATTCACAGGACAGGCAATATATAAAGGACAGAATTTTAATATAATAATATATGATACCATAGCAGAAATACAAGTCATGGCTTGAAGCAGTGATGAAGCACCTGGTGAGAAGGTGGGACCAACCCAGGGGAGCTCAGGTGCATGCAATGCAGTTGAGTGCCCAAAAGGGGCGGAGCCAGGATTCACCCCTTCCCAGACCTCATTTAAGGGTTGGCAGTAGAGGTGAGGGCTCCTCCTAGGAGATCCCTGTATACTTTATCCTTCTGGAGGTAAGCAGCTTCTTTATTTTTGTGTATGCTACTGTTGTATTTGAGCAGATTCTCACTTGCTGCATCCTAGGGCCTTGCTGTTATTGCTGTGGTTTCCATTGTATTACAGATAGAAGTCCTAGCTATCCAGTTTACTCCCCCTCTTCCTATTAGATTTTTATTTAGCAGGGAAATGCATATATTGGTAGACAACATTAGGCTGTGTTTTCTTTAATAGAAAAAGGTGGTAGGAAAAATCATTCTGATAAAGATATGTAGTTGTATAATCAAGGAGTGACTCATCTGTGATATTCACTTTTCTGGACAGCTAGACTAGGTTCAGTAGGTGCTAAAAGATCAAGATAGTAGTAAAAACTACGAATCTGGGAATTATCTCTGTCTGGAAAATCTAGTGATGGCTTGTGCTTTCTGCTTTGCTCTTTGTACATGTTATTTGGAAGCAATTATCAGAGTGAATTTAATTAAATGTCCTAAATAGTGACAGAGTGGTTTTCATGATGGGTGCACTTATACAGGTTGTTTCGTATTCCTGTGTTGTTTGCCATTGTGTGGATCTGCGGCCCACTGTGCTGTGAGTTATCTACAAAAACTAGGAGAAAAAAGGAAAGTGAAATGTGAGCTTCAGCACATTGCTTGGAAGTATTCCATCAGCATCAGTAGGACTAAAACCTACAACATTCTCTTAAGCCTGGGACTGGAAAGGCAGAGGGCTCAGCAGTGATTTTGAGGGTGGTTGAGGATGTATACAAAATGGCTTCATCCTCTTTCTCCTGAGCCATTGATGCTACTTCGTACTTCAGTTAGGAGGGACCCATAAGGATCATTGATTCTAGCTTCTGGAAATGCATCTGTAGAACTGACATTTAGAGGTCAGCACCTCTGGATGAGGTAGTTCCTCTCTGATCCTTGATATGACTGACATCTGGAACAGATTGTCTGGAGATGGAGTGGATGGCCCATCTTCGGAGATATCCACAGCCAGGCTGGATGAAGCTGTGAGCAACCTGATCTGGCTGTGGGTGTCTCTGTTCAGGAGGGTTGGACAATGTGGCCTTTAAATGTCCCTTGCAACTCTAAGGACTCTATGAAACAGCAGTTGGATTGTTTTGTTCATTTTGGTTTGTGTTTGTTTGTTAGCTAATTGAGAGAGGTGGCTGCTTTTACTTCGTGTTTCACATCATTTCTCAACTTTTACTCAGGCTGTATCGCTCTGACCTGAAAGAGCCCCCTTCTGGAGAAATCTGGGTGGTTTGGAACAGATGCAGAGATATGACAGAGTTCACTTAGAACATAATCAACAGATAATAATAGGGTACTCAGAGAAATTGCAGCGAATGACAAGTATCATCAGCCTTTTCAAAACAGCAGAATCAGACATTTTTAACTCCACATGCACAACGGTGTCAGGAGAAGCAGAAAATAGCTAATCTTAAATTCTTATGTTCTAGCTTTAAGAAGATATTGTAAAATTGCAAAGGGAGATGCATTATCATAGGAGAATCACTGAGCACTGTGTGTTCTCATTAGCAAACAGCAGGATTTTCTGTGCTGACCATGAACATCATGGAAACCAGCACAAAATGATGAATGATTTTGTAAGAGGAATCTAGGTTGAAGGCACAGCACTATGAGTGATCCCTGAGGTTTGCCTGAGAAATGCCTCCTGAGAGCAGCGAGCTGCTTTCCAGCCCAGTTACGTATCGGTTGGGAAGTATTTTATTATTTCATTTTTACACATCCTGTATCTTGGTTAGACCCTCCTGCTTCTCGTGTGCACTTAAAATTAGAGAAAATAATTTTGAACAGAAAAATCATCCATTATGTCTGCAAGTGTACAAAATCAGAAGCAGCAATGGGCTTGCAGGGGATGTGAATAAAGCTGGGTTGTGATGGAGTGTTCCAGCTGGGAGCCTGCCATTTACAGTTGCCTCAGAAGCACTTTTCTAAAGTAAACTGCTTTCCTTAAAGGAAGCAGAAGAAGAAAAATAATGAGAGCTAATACATACTGGTTGTTCAGATGATGTGGAAATGGTGGTGAGAATTACCTGAAACATGCTGGCTAGGAGATAAGCTTGTGAACTTTGTAAACAGCGTACAAATAGGGAATGTTATTACAGTTTAGCAAAGTTCTCACTCTTGTTTCTTTCAAACCTGCTGGGCTAATTAAGTGTCTCCATTACCTGGGGCACTTATGGACTTCTCTCCCAGCCTGTACCCCTTTTCAGATCCCCATTTGCAGTCCTTCGCAGCTCCTGCAGTTACTTTCAGGCTGATGTTTGATTCTGGGTGTCTGTTCTCCCAGTCTGTTTCAGTACAGAGAACATCTTGGCATGGTGGAGATTAAAGCACAGGATTGATTAGAGAGGAGAGCTTTGAATCCTTACAGTACAATCTTTCTCTTACATCTGACACTAGTGCACACTGTTTGGTAACATTCATTCCACAACCCCTATCTCCACAAAATACGTAAGTGGTCAATTTAAATGCAAATGTACCGTCATTTTCTGCCTGACCTCCAAGACATTTTATATGTTTGTGTCCTAATTTGGCCTTTTTAAACAAGACTTGGTGTCCCTGTTTCTTCTATGAGCATGCTTCTGCTCTACCAGAGATAAATACCTGCTTGTGGTTACGTTATGTCCCTTTTAATGAAGGTTGGAAGTTCTTGCTGACTTCCATTTTTGAGCACCATAACTGAAACATGGTGAATGACTGCAGTGCTCAAGAAAGAAATGGGAAACCTGGCCTTCAACATTTGGTGCAAATAGCAGGATGTAACCCTACCAGTTCCTCCTCACAGAAGGTCTTATCTGTAGAATATATCCCTGGCTCTGCTCTCACAAACACCCATCAGAAATGGTATCTTTCACTTTCTGCAAGAATCTCCCATCCTGGCCCTGAAGCACTTTTGGGCTACATGCAACTGATAATTTTGAGAGCAGTCTTGGAGTAGATATCTTGCTTTCCTAAAGACCTCAGGCTGGGAAACCCAAAGCACAGACAGGAACCACACTTCCTACATCACTTCCTTAAGGGGTTAAATGTGAATTCCAGTTGTCATGGAAAATCTTCATGCATGAAACTCCAAGCCTTAGGAGGTAAACTGGAGGCTGGTGATTTCCCAGTTTTGTACACCCATAGAGTGGATGCTTTGTTGACAAGCAGTTGTGTGTTTTAAAGGGCAGTGCATTAATGTTGTGTTACCTGGACCTGACTTGGGAAACAGCAGACTTCAACCCATGTGACAGTATAATAACCAAGGTGTGTCTGTGAGAGAGCATCAGATGAGCCTCAAAAGCCATAGCAAAATTATTAAATCACCTTATTAAAGAAAATATTCATTGTCAGGAGCAACTTGGCTCTGAAGGGCAAAACACCCCTAGCACTTCCAAAGAAATCTGGCAACCTCTAAGTGTAACACCATCTTTCAATCAGTGCTGTGCTGTCTAATTAACTAATGTTTGCACTTTTGTTTGAGATCATAGCTTTACAAGGAAGGCTAATATGTTGCTATGTTTAAATGGTAGAATTAATAATTTAGAAAATATGAGAGTACAAAGTCAGGTTACTCTTATCAAATCATCAAAGTCAGGTTTAACTACCTTCTTTTTTAGCTTCTTGCTTAATTAGTTAAGCTGCTGAATTTAATTAACTCATCAAACTTAATTTGAAAAGATCTCTCAAATCAGTAGGAGCTTATCTTATGCTTATTATTTCTATTTGGTTTTGAAATCTTTAATATCACCATTTTGTTAGGATATTAATGGTAGTATTAATCGTGTTCTAATTTACTTCATTTACTCAGACGGTGGCATTTTCTTCATTTAAAGTGCCAGCATGTGAAAATCAATCACAGTTTAAGGCAGTGAAATTGCTCTTCTAGCCAGCTCTCAAGTCAGCTACGTATTATCTCTTTTCCATAAATGTAAATTGGGTTTGCAAGGTGAAGTTATTTCGTGGAAGATCACGTTGGGTTTCTGAAGTCCTACATCTTAGAGAAATGTTATGAGGAAATTATCCTCTGGATGCTCTTTTGGAACAGCTTAACCACGTTGCTAGGTAGTATATTTGAAACTAAAACTGGTATTACAACTATCTAATTCATTTGAGCACATCTGGGTGTGATGCTGCAGCTTCATGATAGTCTGCCACTCCTTTATATTTATTAAAGAGTTTATTACAAAAGGCATAAATGGTAAAATTTGATGTAAATTAAAACCCATTTGTTTGGGTATCTTTTCATTCCTCTAGAAGATATGCACAGAGGAGAGGCCACACGATTGCTTAAATCAGGATTTCTATGCAGGCTATTCACCCATTCTGCAGAAAGCGTTTTATTGTGACTTAGGATATGCTGCTGGTAGAAACTTTGCTAATTAGTTGGGAAGGGAGTTCATATAGATTTGTACAAACCTAGTTCTATGCTTGCTGAAACCAAATGCTTCACTGCTGCTATTCCAGCCAGTATGATTTGTAGATGCATCCTTGCTCACAGTTGCTCCCTCAGGCTGTTTTATTGTTGTAGCTTCAGTCTGAGGCCGGCTCTCAAATGCACAGTTAAATAGCTTGTGTCTCTCTGTTTTTCCTTAGAACGACTACAGGAAGCTATCTATGCAATGCAAGGATTTTGTAGTGGGGGTTCTGGACCTGTGCAGAGACACTGAAGAAGTAGAAGCAATTCTGAATGGAGATGTGAACATACATCTGTGCCCTGAGCATCACCGGCCAAGTCTGAGCAGAATTAAACTGGCGATTAAGTATGAGGTCAAAAAGGTAAGCTGCTTGTTTGGGTGGATGCATCTTTGCATATCAACTAGATACTCACCTGGAAACTCAGTGAGAGATTTTGGTGAGACCAAGGCTGTTCTTTGAGTCCTAGCACTTTGTGGAAATGTTCATTGAATGGAACACTTGATTCTGGCAAATTCTGGTCTGGGTGGTCCTGATTAATTTCTCCTACAATATGCATTGATAGAAACTGGGCTCCTGCAATGGGTTTGGAAGAGCATTCCAAATTTTCAAGCTAACATCTGCTCTCTTTCCTCTTGCACACCCATCAGATGCTTCAGTTGTCCTCTTGACTGTGTCACTCTGCTGCCAGAGACGGCCTTTTCCTGTTATGAAAGCCATTAATTGAAGAGAATCTTAGAGCTCTTATTTGAAATGAATTGCTTTTGTGTAGGAACACATGGTTTGGAGCTGAGTACAGTTTCCTAGTATGCTGTATATAGCATTTGAGCCCAAGGTTAGTAAGGTGCCTTTCCACAAGCTGGGTCAAGTTCAGCTAGCGAAGCTGTTGCTTTGGTAACGAGGGACCAAATTTGTTCTGATGATCTTTTAGAAAATGAACCCAAATGCAAGGTACTCAGCTCATCACCAAGGAGAAGCCCCACTCACCCGCAGACAGCTATTGCAGAGCTGGTCAGAACCTTGAGTTCTTTCAATGTGTGAAGTTTTCTGTGCTATTTTCCTCCTTTATTCTTCTGAGCACTTGTCATCTTCTAGATACCAAAGCCATTACACAGAGCTGAATTGCTGCTGGTAATTGTGCTGCTTTGAGCATGTTTGTCCTGGCTTAGACTGCCTCAAGGGAGTATTTCCTCAGTTTCTTATAACAGTTGGTTATTTTATGATGTCTGACTGCTAATTTAAGGCATCTGTGGTCTGCCATATACAGTTAGTTGTTTTGTTTTATAAATAACTTCATATACTTGAGAAAGCTAAGCATCCTTTGTGGATCACAACCACTCCTTGCCTACAGATAATAACTGTTAATTACAGAATGTGAACATGAACATTACTCATTGTTGACTCAGTTTAGCACATCTCAGAGCATCCTTTTCATCAGTGTTTGTGTGTAAGGTGAGCATTTAACTGCTAGCTGGAAAGTGAGATAGCTTCATTTGTGGGAGGCAGAGATGTGTTCAGATAAATGGCTTTGGTTATTGGCAGTGGCTTGTGATAATAAGCTGGTATTTATTGCACATGCTGAACAGAGATTGTGTTAGAGTAGTGTAGTAATGATTTCCTTAAGAGAAAATAGGTTTCAGGTACAAATTTTCTATTCAGCTGAGAGACATTTAGGCTCATGTATATGAAACCTGTGCTCCAAAACCTATTGTCATTGTAAAAAAAATTATATAATAGAAAGGGGTGTGATGAAGAGCGAGTTGCCATAAGTATCTGATAAATTCTTGAACTGATTCTGTAAATTCCAGGTCACATTTGCAAAGTTAATGCAATGAAGAGACTACATCTGTGCCTGCTGCCCCTATTACTAAAATCCACCTACCTCTATCATTAGCATCAGCACTCCAATGGTCAGTTCTGCTTCCAGCTCCACAAGCTCCAAATGAGCCAGAGAAATTAACATATTTAAACTGGGGGGGGGACAACTGGAATATTTTATTTGTTCCTTCTTGTGAACAGCAAGAAGAACCTTAGACAAGGCACCCTCAAGAACTTCACAACAGACTGGAGAAAAGCAAACGTTCAATACTGTAGGCTTATTCATTAAGCTAATATCCAAACTAAATATTTGTATCCAAAGTTTCAAGAAATAACTTATTTTTCTTTAAATTTATCTCTACCATTAGCTTCTATATCCACACTTTCTTATTAGGACTCTAAATGTCTATGGCAAGCTTCAGTTGATGAAGGTTTGCAGGGAACAACTTATACTGAAAATTATTTAATATCAATGGTTTTATTGCACAGCTGCTGATGCAATTCCCATTTAATCTCAATTTGTACCCATATGAGAGATTTAGGGATGCAATTAAGGTGAAGTTTGCTGTTTAAGTTATTAGTGCTAATTTTTGTCTTGTCCCAGTATCTTAATTAAACAATATCCTTAATTTGGTAGTCATGCCCCTGAATGAGTGACAGTTGCTGGAGGTACAGGCTGCACACAGACTTCCCTGCACACAGAGCAACAGAGCAGTGAATTCAGTCATCAAACTCAGACTTACTTTTAGCCAGATATACACTATTTCTCACACTTCTTTTATTTTAAGTTCAAATCTCTGCTTGGAAAATCCCTCATTCCAAGGGCAGCTTGGTCTTGAACTGGAAGGGAGGCCAGAGCTGTTCACTCATCACACTGAAGGTACCCTGAAAGAGGGACTGAAGCCTTCTTGCATCATCTACCCAGGAACCTGCAGCTGGTAACTTCAGCAGGTTTTGTTCTGAATGATCTTCCTCTGCACTGATGTATTGATCAGAATCCTTTTTTCTTTCCTTTTTTTCCTCCTCTCTTCTTATTTACAAAACCTCAGATGAAATAGAAACTCATTCAAGGAAACACCAGAGGTTTCAGACTTCAGAGCCTTATCTGTCTCTTTGTACTCATTTCTATTTTTTTCCTGAAAAAGCTCTTAATATATGTAAGACACTGCCAAGAAAGCAAGCTTAGGTCTCAGTAACATAATTGAGGTATTTTATACACAGGGGTAGTGAAGAATTAAGACATTTTGCTTGCAGGCATTTCACAGCAAGGAAAAAGCTAAAATTGCAGTCGTTTATAAAGCATCCTCTAAGAACTGCATTACAACTTTACCTGAAAGAACTAAACTATCACTTTGTACCCAGAAATTCTTGGAAAACTACACTCAAATACCCTCTGTTCAAGTTCACTGGGGATATTGCTCCCTTCAAATTAAGTATCTTAATGATTCGTGATTCCTTGAAAAATTATTACAGTGACTGTTGCAATAGGAACAGTTTGTCAAGAGCGAAGTAAACGGTTTTCAAGTGTTTAAGCATTTATAAAGCCCTGGGTGCTTGTCAAGAGAAGGACTTCTAGCATATGGCCTGGAATTGTTGCAAGCTTATTTTTGTTGCCTCCTGGTATAACCTAGCTGGGCTTTGCATGTGAACCCCAGTAAAGGTCTGGGTTCTTACTGTTCCATCAAAGGGAGGAGGAAGGCTAGGAGCAGTGGAGCCCTGTAGTGGCACAGCAGAGGGCTGGCAGTCTAAATCAAAGTGCTCTTCCCACTGAAATAAAATAGCTGATCCCAATGACTGGGACCAGTTTCTCTTCTGTGCTCTCTCACACGGGCTCTGTCAGAACCAGGTTCCTTATCCCCAGGCTTGGTGTATTCCAGAAAAACTTTGATATTTTAAAAGTTCATCTGCCCTGAAGCAGTGAGGCATTCTGTATCTCTGTAGCTGATTAGCAGCATGCTTATAAGGTATAAGGGTTAACTTCACTTTCTTGGATGGGAAACTGCATGAGAGTGTATTTTCTTTAAACAGTTGAACAATCCCTATCAGAAATATAAATATGGTAGAGTTTTTCCCTATGTTTGACTCCAGTTCATCCAGGGTGTCATTTTCACTTGTGAGGTATAGGAACAGAAGCTGGGGCAGCTCTCCTTTGAATCCTTCCCTCAGACCTCCAGCCCTGAGGAAATGCAGCTTTTCTTGGTGTTCCACAACAAGAGCATTTAGTAGCGTGTCTCACCTTTAGAGAACTCTTCCTATTTTCTGTTCTCATTTTTCTCCATGCTGCTCTGCCCTTTTTTTTATAACCCTTTAATATTGTCAGGAGAGTTGCATTTTTACACTTACCTGTAGATGTAAAGCTGTTGCTTCTCTGTAAGAAGTGACATTCGTTCCCTTCTTTCTCAATGTCAAAAATCATTGCTGCTATATTCTTTTAATTGCAAACCTTGAATGCCCCTCTCTGTTTTCTCAGCAGCTCATTTCATAACTTACAAAGCCAGAGCACCCCTCTCTTTCACGAGTTTTAATTAGATTAACAGTAAGACACACAAACTGAGTTTTAAAAAAAAATTAATAAGAGTTAAACAGAACACCAGATGGCTGTGTAAATCCTATTTAATGGAGAACTGGAACAGGAACTTTTCTCATAAATGTATTATTAATAATTAACATATGGAGGATGCTCCAAGCAGAATACTCGTGGCTATATTAGATTATAACTTTTTTCCTGCTTTGCTCACAGCTCTTGTCAACTGCTGCAGCAACCTCAGTTTCCCATTCATTTGCTATGAGGATGCAGTTTTGCCCTGTGCTGTGTCTTGTATGCCAGCTGCAGTCCAGGGAGCTCCTTGCTATTGCATGGGACCCCAGTGGCTGCATCCATGAAGCAGGCAAAAGAATCAGCCCTTGCTGTCAAAGTCATGGGAAATCTTCCTAATGGCTCTTTCACCCTCTTTGAAACAGGGTGAAGGTTTGGAATTTCCCATGGGATAAATCCTAAAGTTCTCTGTCCCTGTGCTCATAATGTGCACAGATAATGGTTTAAGCAGGGCTAGGCTGTGTTTTACCATCTGAGAGTGAGGTCCAGGCAGGAGAACTTCTCATGAAAAAGGTTTTCAGGAAGTTGGCTTTTTGCTTTGCTTTTGTTTAACTCTGGTCATTTTTTTTCAACTGCTGAATTTCAGGAATAGCTAATTGAAGTCATTCACTGATGGTTGGGGCCATAGCGGGGGCATGAGAAGTGTCTCGTCTCCATCACCAGAGCCAGCTGAAACTGTAAGAAGGAGATTTTGCTTTTATGTGACAGTAGAAATACTGGTCATTCTAGACTCTTACTTTCATCCATGTAATTTTCCTGTACTTTTACTTGCGTTTTACAGATTTTTAAGTGATAGGGAAGGAGTTACTTTCCTTCCTTACGGAAACAATTTTATGTCTCTATTTCATTAGCAAGGTTCCTTCCTCCCACTAAATCTGTGGCTCTGATGATATCCATTTGCCCAGATGTTTTAATATCTTTTCCAGGATGAATCTCATTTTGTTATTTC